TGGCAGCAAACAATGGGGATATTCAACGATTTGTTTTGCTGTGACTTACCAGGTTGTCGTCCACCGTAGTTGAATGTCCTGTTATGCCAATAGGCTGGTGGTCTGTGCTGGAACCGATAATTGGGCCGCCACGGTCGTCGCATTCCTCGGCCTCTCTGCCACGCCTGATGTCCGACTTCTTGCGCACCATCGTACCCCACTGCTAGACATTCTCAAGGTGCTACTGTGCCCGCCTCCAGCTTCTCCATATCTTCTGCACGTTTAACAGCCATCTCCAAGTCCGAAGGTGGGTTCATGAGCAGATGCCGTCGTACGTTATTGGATCTGGACCCCTTGATTAGTTGTTCCAGCAACTTCTCCAATTCCGAAGGGCGAATCATTTTCCCATGCTCTGCTGGCCAGTCGGCGCAATTCTCGCACAAAACTTCGCACGCCCTCGCCGTCGTATTGATGCTGTACTTTGAATTGCTTCCTATATTCCATGGGCAGCAGGGATGAATCCAACAACCGTCGAAGGCACGAAAATGTTTCTGCTGTAACGCCTCCCCTCAAGCAGTCCGTCTCGGTTACCACATCGAAGGCCTCTCCACCAAGCAACGATAACACCGAATTGGGATGACGTTCAGGTGGAAAATTCTCAAGATATATTTCCACTTGCTTCTCCCACCGGTGGAAGTTGTCTCCAACATTGTAATTCCCCGGGACTGAGCAGGCCGCTGTTGATCCCATGGTGGATAGCTTTTCTAACCGTTCCGTCAGCGCACTCAGAACGTTCGCTAGTTGCGTGCCGTCCGTGTCCATCGTCTGTGCGGTCGCGTCTTCACTTTTCGGAGTCTTTAGCATATTCAGAGATTGATCCTGGCAGGGTCGCCAATTTTTAACAAACAGTCACGGGAGAAGACTCGTAAAGAATCAGGAAATTGTATTGTACGTAACGGCACTGAAAAATGTAAATAGGAAAATTTACATGGGGGAACTCGACATTACGTGAGCCTTCAACTGTCTCCAGGTTCTTCTTCTGTGGTTTGGCAATCCTTCGCTGTTGCGGTAATGATTGGATGAGCTGCAACGCAAAGGAAAGGCAGCTCCGTCAGAACCTCACAATTCAAAGTGCCTGGTTTACGTAACTCAGCACAAATGTTTTATGTTTTTTTGGGCCAAGTAACTCAAAGTTCTGCATATGTTTTCGCTTATTTGGATGACATTTTTATAGCTTGCACTTCACTCGAAGGGCATTGCTCCCACTTACACATTTAGTTTTCACGTCTTAGCATTATGATCTTACTTTGAATCCTTCCAAATGCATTTTCAGTATCGCATCCTTAGAATTTCTAGGGCACGAGATTAATTCCCGAGGCATTCTCCCAGTGTCTTCTAAGGTTCAAGCAATTCAGTACCTCCTCCGTCCCACTTCCATTAAACAACCTAAATCTTTTTTGGGTTTGATTAATTACTATCGTCGTTTTATCCCCAATTGTTCCGCCAATCTTCATCCGCTCACTCAGTTGCTCCGCGGTAATGCAAAAGACGTTGTTTACACTCCTGAGGCGCTTAAAGCGTTTGACACCAGAAATCAGTCCTCCAGGACGCCACCATGTTGTTCCACCTCAATTCATCTCCATCCACTCAACTGGTGCCGCATACCGACGCGTCGAATCTTGCCGTTGGAGGGGCACTTTATCAAATAGTCGCAAGTATCCATCAGCTTTAGGCTTTCTATTCACAGAAGCTTTCTCCATCCCAGACTAATTACAGCACCTTTGGTCGTGAATTACTGGCAGTATACTTTGCCATCCGACAGTTGCACCATCTCCCCGAAGGTCGCCAATTCATCGTAATGGCAGACCACGAACCACTGATGTTTGTTTTCCGTGCACGTTCTGATGGCTACTCTCCGCGCAAAATTTGTCATTTGGATTTCATCTCTCAATCTTCCACCGATATTCGACACATCAACAGATCGGACAGATCCGTCGCAGACGCTCTCTCTCGGCTCAACATCAACAGTATGGTTGTACCATCCGATATCAGCCTTGAGACCATTTCTCAACATCAATCCAGTTACCCTCATTTCGGAAACCTGCTCAAATCCACGCAAGTTCCTCTTCCACATTCACCATCCACAATTTTCTGTGATACTTCCTCTGGACACCCTCGACCCATTTTACCGTTTAGTATGCGTCAACCCATTTTTACATATTTTCATTCATTTTCACACCCCAGTGTTCGTTCTACTTTACGTCTCATTGCCAATCGTTGCATTTGGCCTAATATGAATAAAGACGTCCTACATTGGGCGAAATCTTGTGTACAGTGCCAAAGAAATAAGATTCACCACCACACTCTTTCTTCCCCAGGTCACTTTCCCGTCCCAGACATTTGTTCTTGTCATGTTCACATTGACCTTGTTCGCTCACTTCCCACTTCAAATGATAAGACATATCTCTTAACATGTGTCGACCGTTTCGCACGTTGATCTATGGCCGTTCCCCTGGCAGACATTTCCTCTGAGTCCGTCGAACAAAATTTCCTGATACACTGGATTTCCCATTACGGTATTCCCTTCACCGTAACCACTGCAAGAGGTGCTCAAATCCAATCTGCGCTCTTTCGTGATCTCACGCGGCTGCTTGGTCACGAACACATTCGCACCACCGCTTACTACCCCGCAGCAAACGGGTTAGCTGAACGTTTTCACCGACAACTAAAAGCCTCACTTCGCGCTCACAAAGATCCTCGCTGGAGCGAACGTCTTTCACTCACTCCACTCAGTATTCGCTGTCATCAAAGAAGACCTCGGATGTACGGCGGCAGATTTGGTTTACGGAACTACTCTTCCTTTACCCGATGATTTACTCCAAGCTTCTTTAAATCTGTTTATTTAGAAGACGACGGCCAACACCCGGACACTCTGCCCCCAAGCCTTATACAGGAAATGCTTCAGCCGTATATCACCAGTGTTGAAGTAGCTGTAGAACTCATAAACCTCAACAAACACAAGGCGGCTGGTCCCTACGGGCTACACCCAGCAATCATCCAACCTATGGTGGACATCCCGGCACCACCATTAGCGGTTGTAGGTCAACCAATTCGCACTTGAGTGACGAGTAGCCGAAACAGATACGAATCCCGAAATAAAACACGACTGATCCGTAATGTTCTACGGTACTGAATTAGCGAAATCATAACAAAATGTACAATAAAGCAAACCTCAAATATGCGGCCAAAAGCACTCAAGCAAGCGAGCCAAATATGATGTCTAGATAGAGCCAAACAGCCGCTCACGTTCTCTGACCACGCAAAATTCAAATGTGTCGGGCATCGGATTAACAGATAAAGAAAAATTTATGGTGTTTTTGATTGAGAAATGTCAAGAGAGAGGCAGCACACAGATAAAGTTATGTCACCATAAATCATCATGTGTTTAGAAAGATTTTCAAAAGCTTCAACATGAAATACAGCGGTACTCTTTAACCTCAGCCTTAATCAGGCTGTTATTCCAAACGAATGGAAGACGGCCGAGGGTATACCAGTTTTTAAAGCCGGACGACGGGAGATACCTGGGAATTACCGACTGGTAAGTTTCCTGTGCATCTTACTGAAGGTAAAGGAGAAGAGTATAAGAAATGCCATCGTTAGCCACCTAACCCAGCATCGCCTAGTAGCACCACAACAGCACGGGTTTGTCGAAGGCAAGTCTTGCCTGACGAATTTGTTGTCCTTCATAGACTAAGTTATTGTGAGGTTAGACCGCGGTGACCCTGTTTAAGTCTGCTATCTGGAGTTCCAGAAGGCCTTTGACTCGGTCAACCATCATCTGCTTTTAATTAAGTTAAGGAACCTGCGAGTTGCTCCCGGGGTGATAGACTGGATAGGAGACTACCTAAGTGGGCGAAACTTCTACGTAAAAGTAGAAGGTTCCAGATCTACTTCCGCATTAGCCTGCAGTGGGGTACCACAAAGATCGGTACTTGGGCCTTTGCCCTTCGGATTCTTTGTTAACGATCTAGCTCAAAGGCTGCAATCGCCGTGTTTCCTATTTGCTGATGATGCTAAAATTGTAGGTAGGCTAACCGGGTATGTCATGCAGCAGAACGTAGACGCCCTGTATCCCTGGTCCGTGGTCTGGGGCCTACCACTGAACGCCGGCAAGTGCAGGCACTTAGTGTCTGACCCTTTCCCTGTAGTACGCTACCTCAACCCTGATAACCCTCTGGTAATTCAGCACACAGAGACGGTTGAAGATCTAGGGGTGCTTATGCATCAGTCCTTTAAGTCGTCACCACAATG